GGAAACGGCCTCAAGCTGTGCCAGGGGAAGTTTAGGTTGGGTATTAGGAAAAACTTCTTCACCGAAAGGGTAGTTAGGCATTGGAAGAGGCTGCCCAGAGAAGTGGTTGCGTCTCCATCCCTGGAGGTATTTAAAAGAAGGATAGACGTGGTGTTCGAGGACATGGTTTAGTGGTGGACTTGGCAGTGCTAGGTTGACGGTTGGACTTGATGATGTTAAGGGTCTTTTCCAACCTTAACAATTCTATGAAATCTTTATATTGGTCTGTTCTTGAGTATATGTAATTTAAAGAAGATGACGAGTAGTGGCATCAAGTAATTGCATTCTTCATCTTCCCTCCCCCAGCACCTATAGAAGTAAAACCTCCTCAAGAATACAATAGCAAGAGATTATTAGGTACATCTATTCACATTCCAACTTGATTTCTGTTTTCTTTCATGAAGATGAACTTGCTACAATCTTAGAAAAAAAAGTTACACTTATGTAAATAAACTGCAACATTTTATTCACTGGAGCACAGAATCTTTCTTAACTGGATGTCTGAAGTTTGGAAAATTAACACAATGCCATGAAGGAGCTAGGTATGCATTACACTTTATATATATTACATATAAATATAGTAAATACAAGCAAAAAACTCAAATCATAGCAAACTTCTATGGGTGGAAGATTAAAAAAATGCAACAGTGCTTCTGTTGAGACTCGTGTGTTTAAAAAAAAAAAGCCATGAAACAATATCATGAAAGAAAAAGAATCCCACCTCACTGGTCCCTACTGCTCTATCTTAAATGGCTAATCCACTCTGTTAATCTAATCGTATCAGGGAAATACTCGTAGACATATCCTTGTCCTAAGAAGAGCCCTCCACGGAAAAAGCTGGTTTCTCACACAGGGTCAAGTCAGTTACTTGAGCTCTACATTTTTGGACTGATTGCTCCTTGCGGCAGAAGCCCGGCACAGCAAAATCACGGAGATGACTTCACAACCCTGTTGGGTCCCGCAGTATTTACTCAGGCACAGTAGTCTACAGTTACACTGCCTTCAGGCAGTAGGTTAAGTATTTTCCTGTGGCATCAGCTAGCAAACTCTGGAGGCATGAACATCAACACAGAGCCACCTGCAGTGTCACCTACCTCATGAAACCAACAGCCTTGTAAATCACAGTACAAAGACTCTGAAAAATGCTGGATAGAAACCGTACTGGTTTATCAACACACCACCATAACCATTTTCTCTTGCCTGCATCCTGTCTTTCAGTACTTGAATTATACAGGTTCTCCCCAGCACCTACAGCATCTCAGCTCTCCGTCATCCATTTCAGAGAAATCGGAAACATCCCACTTGTCCAACAATGCAACAAAACCTGAAAGTGTTGTTTTCAATATATAAAATTATTATCCATTTTCAAAAGAACAATGGTCCAATCATCTGAGAAGCACCAAAACTAAAACTAACTGGAAGGGAAGTGAAAGCCCCGACAAACAAAACAGCCTGGAAATAGCTCATTTCTTGTGTAAATAAAACCTATCACTTAATATTATTTTTACTTCTGCATATTGTATTTGATTATCAAATTTAATTTCCTCCTACTGTAAATTCAAAAAAAGGGGGAATAAATGGTAGAAGTATCAGATGTAAGATGAACAGGACTTTCCTATTACTGAATAACTATCAGTAGACACCCAAAAAAAGAAAAAAATTGATCATGCAAATAACTGATAAATACCTACACCAAGTTTAATCATCTCTACTTTTCTAGCAAGTTGGATCACCTTAAATCCACCTTTCCAGTGTTTTGTTGATGAACACCCTTCTCATCAGACCATGTAATAAGCACTTCGTTAGCTTTTCTAATCTTGTTTGAATATACATAAGGAGCAAAATTAAATAATCAGCTTAAGGGAAGCCAGCAAGAATTTTACCATGGATTTCATCTCTTTGTATAAATTTATCCTATGCCTAAATTTATTAAAAGTCAGTGTGCATTGACAATCACTAGCTGACAGAAAGGAAGAAAATTTATCTTTTGTCTGTAAAGAGTAAATGTGCTGAGTAAATCTCTTAAATAGCTATACGGGCATATGTGTACATGTGCACACCTATGTCAAAGGTATACAAGGACACGAGGTATTTGAACCGTATAGGCAATAAATTTGAACTATATGTAATATGTTCTTAATAAATTATATTTCCAATAAAAGATTCTAGACGATGACAACACTATATCTACGATTATGTTTCAAAAAAGTATTTTTGCTGTAGTACTGTTAAAAAAAAGACCTCTTTCTTTTAAAGAAAAAGTACTTTTTTTTTGTCTTAAGCACAATGACCTGAAGCAGCCAAAAGAACTTTGTTGATGATTTGCAAAAGCCAAGTTTAACCAAATACTGAGCTTTCAAAGATTCATTCCAAATATGAAATTTAAAATACCTTAAAAACAACAATATGCGCTCTTTTATAACCTTAGCAAAACAACTGCTGTTGAAAACCAAATCAAACAAGTCTACACTGACAAGCAGGCAGAATAGTCCAATGGATCCTTCTCTATTTCTCATTTCTAATGATTTATCACTTTCACTAATTGGGCTGGCAGTCTTGAAAAAGTCCATTTATAAAATGAGAAGTTGTCTTGACCACAGCCACATCCACACTAAGAAAAGGGGGGGTGGGGGTGGGTGGGGAATACATCATTGTCGGTCAGTGTTAACGACAGTTATGAAAGGTTGGAT